AATCGGCTTTTATTAGCTTACATATTGAAATGCATTATATATAAAAATATTATATGCAATAGCTATCTAAATTAATTATTTAAGATGAAGTTTTAGTGACCTTAAGATTAAAAATTTGTAACAATAAAATTATTATAAATATAATCGGAAAGAAAAGACATTAAAATGAGAGAAAAAAAGTAAACGTGACTAAAATTCACATAGTTATTTAGCTCTTTAGACTTTAAAATTAGCTACAGAAATATCAGATTCTATTATAATTGCGACCTTGAATACTCTTGGACAGTCAAAAAGATTTACTACTACTATTCATTTGATCACGCCAACCAAAAATATAGACTTCAAAATATGTGATTGATATCCGTAACATTCTATCGCTAGGCACTCCGTGTTTATTCAGTCAACTACGTTCCTACCTTCTTTCCTATCATTCTTATCCTTTCAAAATAACCGTGCTTAACTCGACGCACAGCACACTTTATCTCGATTGAAGAGTGGTGCCTTTTTTTAAGCTCTCTTTTTCTTATAGACTTCAAAATATGTGCTTGATCTCCGCAACATTCTACCGCTAGACACTCCGTGTCTATTCAACTATGTTTCTACCTTCTTTCCTCTTATTCTTATCCTCTACTCAAAATAACCGTGTTTAACTCGACGCATGGCATTACTTTATCTCGATTGAAAGGTGGCGCCTTTTTTCTCTCTTTCTTTCTCTCTATACACTTCTCTCTCCGTTGCGCAGTAACCTAATTATAGAATGGAATTGTTATCTAACGACTACACGAGTATAACGGCGCTTACGCATTTATACAATCTTACGCTTCGTCGTTCGATAACTTTTTTTCTTACCACCCAGCAAACGTTAACACGCGAGAGTACGCAGTAAAATCTAACGATCCCTCTCTCGCTTTCTCACTTTACCTCTGCGTACGTCTCTCCTCCTCGTCAAACGCGTTATCGACCGCGCGAAGTTCGCGTATCGTTTTGCGTCAAACCGCATAACGAGGCTGATTGCATTTCTTGAGAAGTATCGCGACGATATCCGACAGAAATGGGACACCCAGGATTTCCAAGGGATGGAAATGCGTTGACTAAATATAGAAGTCGAAAAAAAGAGGCGGATTACCACTTTAATCGGATTTAATTGGACGAATCAAGGATAAAAAAAAGTAAAAATTAAACGAATTTATTTATACATATTATGGGATATCCTAGAATATAACATCCCAAAATTGTCACTATTACGGAAAATTAGATTCTTTTAAGTAGGATCATTATCACACGTATGAATATATATTTAGAAAATATTGTACATATGCATTATATAAGCACATGCGTTTGTATCGATTCGCAGACTGCTGTATTAATGAATGCGCGTGCTAAGAGCTAATAATCATTTGATAGATGATTAATAGTATTGTATTAGCATAAAACAAGTTTAGTTACATTCTTACGAATATCGATAGAAATATAAGCAGCGCGCGATCGAATCGTGATGTAATCACGAACTGATTGACCGATGCCTATTAACTATTCTTTATCTTTCAGCAAGTTGACAAAGATACGTGATCAAAACTTTTCGTTATAAAATCCCCGTATATATTTTACGTCGAATCGACAGGCAATAACGTCTGAGTCTAGAACTTTAGCGCTTACATGTTGAATGTTTACCAATAGGCGGATTCGTAAACAGGATGCTATGGTCTACCTGTAACTAAAATAATTTGCCGTCAAGTGAAATTTAACTCGCGACGCTGCAATCTTTAAAGTATTAACGTTACATGTCTTGGTAGAGTCATATACACGCATCTTTCAAAACAAAATTTTGTCAATGTAAAGTTCATGTTTAATCAACGAATGAGATTTGATCTCTTGAAGCATATACCAGAACATTGCTTTTTTATAAAATCAATTCAATTGCAAAATCTCTCTTTCCCATATAATTTATTATACCTAATGCAACGAATTTATTATATCTACTGCTATATGTGCGATAACATTGCTACTGGATCTTAAGTTCGTTCAGGTCAGGTAGTTGTTGGGAGTTAAGGTATTTGTGTTTTCTAATGTGCCAAGTTTCTTGTGTGAGGCGCATTATTTCAGTGCTGTTATTTTTTCCACCTATGTGAGCTAACTACAAGCTGTTGTTTCATCGTAAAATCTTCTATTTACTTACAAAATTTGTAAATGCCATAAACTTTTGTCCAAAAATTAAAACAATTTTCCAGCATTTTTCTAAGACTTTTCATAGATGGGCAAAATGAATAAAAAAGACTTTCGATGCCATAAAATCTCTAACAATAAGTTCAAGCTTATCTTTTTAAAAATACTTATGTGTACCAAACACATATGTCTATAATCGGACATTCTGAATAAATAGACCCTCCACACATATACAAACACACACAAATCCCTTTTAAAACAATTAGAAGTTCGTTTTATCGCACTTACCGCGTTGCATATGATAACAAGCTGGGATTGGACATACAAAGAATTGGTATAGCACACTTGTCGAACGAGTGTGAGGAAATTACAAGAGAGATATTTTGCTGGCCGTTGACAGAATTAAGAATCGTAGAGGCAACACAGAGGCAGTCACGGAGCAGATTACGGGAGCAATAAGTGACGTATATTTCGCGCAGATGTGCGAATTAGTGAATGTAAACGAGAACGCCGAACGGAAGAGTATAGAGATAGAGACGGAGGTCGAGGAGAGAGAATCGCATGCAGATGCGCGTCCCGAGCTCGCCTCTTTTACATATGAAACACGATGCAATGTTAATGTTGCAGAAAATAAAACGAGATTCTATCCTGTAAACTAAATTTTATCGACGCGAAACTCTGTAAAGGTCCATCTACAATGAGAATAGTAAATCGTAAGCCGTATAAGAAATTGACCAATCATAATCGAATATATAAGAAGAATAATCGACTAAGATTGGTCAATTTCTTATGGTTTACGACTTAATAACCTTATTGCAGATGGACCTTAACTCGACAAAGCTTGTGTTGTATAATACGCAGCATTCTTGCAACCGAGCAGAAATACTGTTGCTGCAAATGACAAGTACGAGACGTGCATTTTTTCAAATAACGCGAGGGATTTTTGCTCACAAAGAGATATCGTTGAGATTATAGTAATTTCCGGTATTGCTTCGGAATTCTTTATCTGCCGGCAAAACCTCCGGCAAAAATTGCAAATTTTTTACTTCTGCGATAAGTGATTACGGTATACGTATTATCTCGTATATAGATTGAAAAACACAATAACGTTATACCGCGTAAAGCGGTGTACGTTGAAAACAACGTGCTTCGCGCAAGAAACCTTAAGACAAAGTGCACTAGACGTCACAAATTGCCTCTTTAACCCCAAGTTGGTCTGGTTGGGAATTTCGTCTCCATTGTCCTGACGAGGAGAGTTTCACGGTACGTTTCCAGCGCTTTAACAGTATAAATGTTAAACTCTCATTTATTATACACTCTACAGCGGTAAGCCGCAGAATACAGGCGAAAGTTTTCAAACAGTTTTTAAACGAATAAACGTATCGTATTTGCCAAAGTCGATAAGAGATGCAGAGATCTTATATGATCCTTTTATTTATCTTCGTTTTTGTATAAAACGTAACACCTGCCAGATGTTAGTTATCGATTACTAAACATCGTTATTTATTTTTTTTTCTTATATGCAGCCACGTGTGTATCACTGAAATGAAAGCTACGATGTGCATCGACATTTATGACATCTGGAGCTCGCTCGGAATATTCCGAAAATGTAAGGAAGGAACAACAATTTATTACACTGCAATGTGCCCTCGATTATTCACGCTCGAGTTATCTAATTTATTTATCCGCTAATTAAGTTGCCTAATAATGAGCATATTCAACGGTAATTTTTATTCGTAATGTGTACGGTAGATCTTTCTGTATTATTATATACGTAATTACTGCACATTATTATCACAGCTAATAAAGAACCTATATATTGTAACAAAAATATTGTATCAAGTTTGAGTTAATTAACTGATTAAAGCGCTTAACGTGTCACGTTTCATCGACCGGATAAACAAAAAGGAGACGCTACCAAATAAACCGCGTCTGTTCCAAGGCAATTCGTCGCGGAAATAAAGCGTTTCGGAATTCAAGTGATGTAATATGTCGATCGATCGGCTCCGCGGCAAGCGCGGGCTCAAGAAAGGAGCGCGTTCGATACGCGGTGCATTCGAAATTTTATTAACCCGTAAATCGTGCGTGTTTAAACGTACGGTTGCGCTTTTAGATTGTGAGATATCCGAAAATGAGGAACGAGGTCGTCTCGAGACGACGACGTGTACCGTGACACGTATACACTCGGAAAGGGCACGGAGCGGAACGCGAAGCTCGAGGTGAAGAACGTACGAATGAATTAATTAATCGCATGCAATGCGCCGCTCTTCGTCGCGTGCTACGTGTAACGATTGACCGCTACAAAGTGCCGCTTGAAATTGCGCAGAACACTCGCTGCGAAGTTAAACACCTTGGCACACGTCGCCGATCTGTAAAGGGAAAAAAAGATGGGGAAAAAAAAGATATTTTTTTTCTCTTTCTTTCGCTCCTCTTGAATGAACGTCGCCTCGAGACGTCACGCGCACAAGCGTGAGCCAACCGGGGCGATTTGCATCGAAACTCGTCGGCGCGCCAAGAGACGGAAGCGCTCCGGAGCGAGACGCTCCGCGCCGCGCCGCGCCGCGCCGCGCCGCGCCGGGACGCGGTGCGGGAGGGTCAGGAGGAACGAAGCGCCGCATTGGCACGGAGGGAGCGCGCGCCGGAGAAGGGGTAGGTGGGGAGACGCGTCGCGCGTCGTCGACGAGAGCGCGACGGGATGAGGCTGAGGCGCCGTGCCACGAGAGAGGACGAGAGAAGGAGAGTCCGTCTACAGGGGAAGGAAAGGGCAGAGGGAAGGGTAAAGGAGGGGAGGGGAGCTTTTTCGGTTTTTAACGACATCCGAGCGCCGTCGACTCAGTGCCCGTCCGACTCGCGATTCGTGTGTACTGTTCTCGTTTTTTTGTTTTTTCCCCTCTTGCTCTCTTTCTCTCTCTCTTTCGCGCGCACGTTACAGCCGATACAGTCGAGGCTGAACGGTCTGAGAGGAGGCAGAGAAGAGTCGTTATTCAGGACTCAGAACGCCCTTCTCCCTCCGTCAGACAGCTCGCAGTGGGATCCCTCAGGATCGGGCCGGGGTGGTGCCGTTTCGTACATACGATATTGCCCTTCTCAAAGCCGACTGATCGCGAGGGTCGGACTAATAATTCCGTTGTGAATCGAACTGTCACAGTGATTGAGATCGCGATAAACATCCTGCGGAACTTCTGGCGGGATAAGTTTCTCACCCGAGCGAAAAAAAAAGGAGGACTCGGTGTAACGATTTTATTGATAGGGCAATCGAACTGATTATTGATAATCGACTATTGACAATTGTGCGAAGGATCTATCTATCCTCTCTTACGGCTGAGTGCTGACCGGCGAGAAGGAAGGCATTCTTCAGGAGCGATCTGCCTGGCGTGGTGCACCTAATTTCTACCGGTAAGAGGGAACTATACGCCACGTCGACTATCGAAGCGACGAAGGAAATGCAAGTCGCGCGCACCGGCTTGCGATAAACCCCTCGCGACGAGGCATATCAAGCTTTGCTTTCGAGGAAGTCTGATTAATCTTTACAAGACGAGAAACATTCCGTTAAAAAATCAATTAAATCAATATATGATTAAAATTATCAAAGATGATTCACAACGGATTTGTCATATATTCTCAAAATCCGGAATTATTTCTTTATGTTTTTGAAAGATATTTTATCAAAGGGCAAAGATGGAAATATATAATAGGCGATAATATGAAAATTTCAGTTATATGATTTTAACTTATTTTCTAAAAAAAAAAAAAAAACACGAATACTGGATATGAGATGATGTATTTAATTTGTATTTATATTACTAAAATATGTATTATAAATATAAACGTAATCGATATAACTCAAAATCAAACGAAGAATTTATGAATATAATAAGAATATAATAATCTTAGATCTTCTTATTAAAAATAATATTTAACACTCTTAAAAACTTGTCTTTATTTAAAACATTTCACGCGGACGATCTTGAAATTAATTAATTTACGAGTTAATTAATTTCAAGGTTTTCATTATTATAAAATTAATTAACTTGCGTTTAAGAATTTTAATTTGCCATTGAAAAAATTCCAGAAAGTAAAGATGTATTAAAGAAACAAATCGTGCACATAAAAAAGATATATAATTTCCAAATTTGCTTCTAATAAAATTGACGATACTTTTCATAGACACCCTGTATACAGAGACACGCTAGTCGCCAAGTGTCCAATGCTCCCATAAGTAAACCCAGTCCTGACATATAACGTTCCTCCACACGTGTGGCCCTTTTCTTTTTTTTATTATTTCCCCTCTCTTTCGCGTCGCTTTGGCGAGAAACGGGTCTCGAAACGAGAATGAACAGGTTAAATAAAACACGATGGACATGTTACGTGCATTCTTATGCATTTTAAGCAGCCACGTTTTCACTACCGTGACGGAATGCATTCGCGAGAGAAAGAGAAAAAAAAGTGCTTAATAAATTGTCTTCTTAAAAAACAAGATTAAAATAAATATAATAATTGCTTTTTCTAAATGTTCAAAGCAATTTCTAGATACAATTAAAATCATAAGCTATTTTCGAACATATAATATGCTTAATATAATAACAAACCAGCAGAAATTCTATCTTTTTCTTTGCAGAAAGAGCACACGAAAGTATCAATTTGAAGAAATGATAAAAAATTTAATAATCGCGTACTTTAAAAATTGCCTCGCTGAAAATTTCTGGTTTCTTTGTTTAATTTATAACTGTGATAATTATGATAAATTTTTTTCGAAGGTGCTCCAGAACATTTTTCTCGATCATAAGATCCGTAAACAAAACGAAAGACGAGCTATTTTAACATTCTATATTCATTTCTTACTTATCGCAGTGCATAAATGGAGAGTCGATTAAGACAGTTATCGCGTTTCAGTTATGCGCTAACATTGTAATTTCTAATTCGGGATTGTGCAACGCAACTTCGAACGAATCGCGAACGCGAGAGTACGCTTCCTCTCCGGGCCCGAAATGACCGGAATAGCTTGAGGATAATTTTGGAACACCACCATTGTGGATTCCTGATCCTTACCAAATTCGCATGCGAATTCTGGAGGGAATGAACGCTTCGATCCCAAAATTCACGGCCTGTTCCGCATGCATGCGCAGTAACCATTTGTCGTAATAGCCGTGAAACAATCCGTCAAAATGATTCATCAAAATAACTATCCGGCACACGGTGTCTCGGAAAAAAACATTGTGCTATATATTGAAAGAAAAAAACTCCAATTCTACTTTCAAGTCATTAACATCGTGCGCGATAATGTCACCGCGATTTGCAAGGCATTTACATGAATATCAATATAAAAAATCGCTCTCACACACACTTTTATGTTATCTTCTAATATTATCTCTTAATCTCCGAAGGAATAATATACGATTACACTTGTCATTATCTGTTTGCATACTTGATAGGGAGCACGTTTTCTGTTTGTGTATCTGACGCGAAGACATGACGGAAGAACGTGATGAACACATTTTTTTTCTCGTACTTCAATGTACTTTTCATACTTTGAAGTGCTTTAAAAATAAGTTTATCTATAGCGATCCAAAATAGCTATCTAAAGTCGTCGATTTCCATAATCTTCCTACTAAAGCCTCGAGTGTTTTATGGTTTCCTAAGTATTTTAAATTCTCCGTTGCTTCATCGATCCTCGGAAACGTCCAGCATCCTCCGAGGACGAACCTCGCCGTGCCTCGCCGGAGCTTTCAGACACACCCTGTATGTCGCGTATCGATCGCTCGCTCGCTCGCTCGCTTCCTCCGCTTCTTCCTATCGCACGTGGGTACACCCGGCAGAGGTGGTCAACCTTCGCGAGTTTGCCGGTCGTCGCTTTTTCCGTGGATTCTTTGGCGCGCTTTCAAGCCGCGTGTTTTAACGACGCCTAAACGGGGACGACGCCGACCGTCTGATTTTCGCGTTCACGCTGATGGCATTCGACGCGACTTTCGTGTTAACACCCGCGAAATTACAGAATCGGACGTGCGAAGCCCGGGTAAATGCATTTGGCGCGATTGAATGAACCGTGAAATACAAATAAACACACGAGCTTGTAATCTATATTTACACAATAATCTACGACCGTTTATCAGAAATTATTAGAACCGATCGTATTCCCTTTTCAGTCAGTCATACGTCTTTTTTTAATTTCATACGAATTATTACGGGTTATTATTATGAAAGATAAAAAAGAAAAATATTCCGCTCTCTATTATCGGTTATCTAATTTCGACAGCAAGCAAAGATAAAAGTCTATATTTTAATGTAAGAATGATTTTTAATATTCTCCAAAGATCAATGCAGCAATATGTTTATCTATTTTTTATCTCAATTGCTTACTTCCTTTTTGCGTTTTATTTTCAAATGTACTCTCGCTAACGACGTACAGATTGATGCTATACTTATCTCTTAATCAGTTCGATAAAATTCGCGCGATAAGAGATCGAGTATAATATTTATATCGATTATAATATTTGTATTTATTACGAAGAGAATAAAGATCGGAGAAAAATAGAATGCCATTCGCGTGCCATTCTTTACTAACGATCAGGTTTCAACAAATGAAATCACATGAGATCGAAGTTCTTAGATGAAAGAAAATCACGCACGAGTGTGTATTTCCGGATATCGATGATCAAAGTCCAATCAAGATATGCTCATATAATACGAGCATATCTCGAGTGTCGCGAAAAAGAAAAGGAAGGACGAAGGATTCACGGAAGATTATCCAACAATTGACCACCCCTGTCGCACGCTCGACACATCGGTCGGCCACGTGAACGCGTTGCGACACCGATCTCTTTGACATATTTTCTTCGTTTTGTTTACACACCGATCATCATTACGGCTCGCTGCCGTTACAACGACACGACACGGCGGCGAGGGCGACGATGACGACGACGGCGGCGCGGCGGCGACGACGAGGACGATGACGGCGACGTCGCATATCAGTTACGTTTAATGAATACGCGTCGGGTTTATATAATGCCGACATTGCGATATCCTGGCGAACCGCTCTGGTGACACCTCGATACTCTCCCCCAGGATTCTCGCGATCTCTACCCCTAAAATGCTCAGCTATAATAAACACGCGTGGGCTCTATATATATCCAAATACATATATATTAATGAATTATGATAATTGAAGTTACGAATCTGCGAAGTAGAAGGGACGAGACAATTTTGTTTCTCCCTTAAAACATTAAGTTCAAATGTGCACTTAAATTTATTATTAGAAAATTTTGCAGATTTTTATATCTCACTGGTTAAAGTGCACATTACGTGCGTGTATTAATCGCAATGCGCATTACGATTAGAATAATACACGCGTGACTCAAAGTTGTTTTAAAAAACAATTATGTTTTACTACGATATAGAAACAGACAAAACAATTTATAGACGAATTATTTACGTCGCAAAAAGTATTTTGCATTAAATATGTATAATTAAGTAAAACATTTTAATTTCTTTTCCTATAGAATAAATTATTTTTTATAAACTGTTCTACAATCAAGAAAACATTGACATTTATTTAAATTGCTTACATGTGAGAGAAAAGGGAGAAAAGGAGCGCGAGCGATTAAAAGTTATCATCGATCGGAGTGACGTATTGAATTTTTCTCTTCTCGTCTTTCAGATTAAGATTATGAGTTCCGAGCCGTGGACCTTGCCTCCGAAGCAAGGTCTATATGACCCTACTCTCGAACGGGAGGCTTGCGGCGTTGGCTTTATCGTCGCCATTGACGGGAAGAGGTCGCACAAGGTGAGTCGATTTTAAGCTTCGTCTGTCTTTTACGTATAAAGTTCAAAGAACGACCCACGTCTCTTGAGCGTCGCGCGTTTGATCTTTGCAATCTATTATAGATGTAACGTCTGTTATAGACGTCCGTATATTGCGTTGTAACGCATAGAGCACAGTGCGAATAAAAAAAAGTGTAATAATAAAGATAAGATAAATGCGGCTAAATGCAGACTAATGAGTTCTTATTAGACAAGTATCGGGAAAGAATTCAGAATTGTCGATAACAGAACGTTTAGGATAATTACGTCTCTATCTCCGAGTTGCAGAAAAAAAATTTATGATTATTATATAACATCGAATTAAAATCGCAAAACCTTAGAACTGCGCATAATTTTAACGATAAGCGCCGATTGAAATATACACAAGAGCGATTAGATAAACGAGAATGTAACTTAATGGCATATATCTATCTGAGAAAGAAACAAGAGACCTCCACCTCAGAAGATAAACGACTCATTGATAATGTGTGAATTACAATTTTGCGGTCCTTTTTTTCTTGCGCGACGATAAGAAACGCTGTACCGATTCTCTCATATTTATGGCCGTTATCTACGAATTTCAGATCATTCGAGATGCTCAGATACTGTCGGCGCGAATGAATCATAGAGGGGCATGCGCCTGTGATAATGACACTGGTGACGGTGCCGGTGTGCTTTGCGCAATACCGCACGATTACTATGCCAATGAAATTCGGTAAGAGAGCGACCCAGCGACACTATAAATCTTATTTGTTGACAAGATAGAGTCTCTCTAGTTTCTGAAACCTTTATAATTTCCGATGTATGTACTCGCGAGATATCCAATTTAATCGCCCAAGCCAAATACTTCTGCCACATTTGACGCTACATACTATCTGATTGAAGTAAAAGTTGAATTTCAGTTCATTCCGAATTTTATATTTAATTATATAGATCGTGATTATGAAAATCTCAGGTCACGTTTTGTTTCGATTATCATTGTATTAATTTTGATTTTAATATCTTTGCATTTTTTATTCAAGATTTTTATATCGAATATTAAAGATTGAAAACATTTTATAAATTTATAAATACTTGAGTGCAGTTGGCAGGGCAATTAAATATAATTTCTATGATTCATAAATCGTTCGTTTCACAAATATTTCATTTCTAAATTAGCATCCTCATAGAAATTTCTTCAAATCTACAGAACATTGTCCCTGAACTTTTAGAATTACATTCATTATTTCTTTGAAACTCATATATGATAATATGATTTGATCCTTGGCACAGTTCTACAAATCTTTCGTCACAGATCTTTGTTTTGACAGGTCTCGGACCTGAGATTTTCTCTAAATCATAAATGATGACAAGGATTTAATTTTTCTAAATCCTTGTACTGGTTTCAATTTGTAGAAACTACAAATCGCTAATTCTCTTGGAATCGATTCATTCAAATGTGAATTAATTCAGTCTTACTAATTGTAGGTTACTTTTCGTGTTACAGCCAACAGCAAAATATTCAACTACCCGAGTTCGGACGATACGCGACCGGTATCTTATTCCTCGATAAGAACACCCATAAAGAAGCAGAAGCCGCGTTCGAGAAGCTAGCTAAGGAGTGCAACTTAAAAGTACGATATTATTGTTATTTGTTGATTTCAATGGTTAAATTATCGCGTTGTACTTGCATTGAGTACGCTATCTGGCATATTCTCGAGATCGCGTGTTTCGTAGGTGCTGTGTTGGCGTAATGTTCCCACCGACAGCACCCAGATTGGCCAAGTGGCGAAGAAGTGCGAGCCGTACATGCGACAAGTGTTCGTTACCGGCGATCAAGATGCGGAAACGCTTAAACGACAGGTAATTTGCCTAATCCCTAAAGTCGAGTTGTGAAGTCAATTAGTTCTGGTTTGGCAGTTTCGTCGTACCTCTTTCTAGCTTTATGCTAAGATCGAAATATAAACTTATTTTAAACTATTATTATAAAAAAATATATACGTTGATTGATAATTAACATTTCCGTACGCGTTGTTTTTGGAACCTGTTTTGGAAGGCTCTCCAAGAATTAATTATTAATGAATCCAAAGTTGCACGCGGTATACCGGCTTAAACGACTTGGCATTAAACGACTTTGCCAATTTATAAAATTAGAACTCGGTTTCGTCGCAGATAGTCACGATTTTCAAGGTTAAAGCGCACATCACGAACCCTTCGTTTCGATCCATCATAAATTACACGTTCTTACGTATCGATCGCATTCTGGTTGGCAGATTTTCGTGCTGAGAAAGAGATCGTCGCATTCAATCCGGCGGCCGGAATTGCGATATTACATTTGCTCGTTGTCGTTGAAGACGGTCGTCTACAAAGGTCAGCTCACCGCTGATCAGTTATGGCTGTATTTCACGGACTTGAAGGTGAGTCCAAGTTATTTTTGTACTGTGTTTTTTTTTCCTCAGAAAATTGCCGCTCTTATCTCGGAAGTCTTACGTAAAATGTATCATGTATGCCATCGTGGGAACAATAATATAACATTATATAAAAAATTTTTTTTTCCTTTCATATCAGTCACCGAAATTCGAGACCTATCTGGCACTGGTACACACACGGTTCTCCACAAATACTTTTCCGAGTTGGGAAAGAGCGCATCCTTTACGGTAAGATGCTATATAAAAATTCCACAAATATCAAGATGATATTAAAAGTGATCATTTCCAAAAAGCTAATTCATCTCTTTTAATATGTGGGTTAGAAACGAGAAAATATTCAATTTCGTATTTTGATTATTTCTCGATAAAAAAATGAAAATAAATAATTAAAAAATTCCGAAAAAAATGTTCACGAACTACCTTTCATTGCGTAATTGTTTGATGATATTACTTAAAAGATATACGAAACTGCTATTACTTGGCAATTACGTTACGTTTTTTTTTTAAGTAAATGAAATTATAAGAAAAAGCTGATAAAATACAAATAGAACTATTCAAATTTTTTCAACCTTTCTTCACGACCGTTACAAAACTAAAGTACTTATTATCCTATAAATAACTAAAAGACTGTATTTTATGCTCTTATCGAACAAGGTTAACGTAATAACTTATTACTTGCTTCGTTGTGACACCTCTTTGCCTTGAGCAATTTTTCTGCGTATTTGCCTTGTACAATTTTTCTTCCGATTATCTTTCGGTAATTGAAGATCCATAATTCGTATTTGTTTTATAGGCAACACCCTGCAAAACACTGCTTTCGCAGTTCGATAGTTCTGCATTATAGCGATAAAAGTTCTATCGTAATTTAATCGTAGGTTCCGCAGGTTTCCATTTCAAAATCTCAAACAGCGGACATCGATATAACGTGCGACGTTTGTCCATAGCTTACTTGCTCACAACGGTGAAATTAATACCCTGCGCGGCAATGTGAACTTCATGAAGGCGCGGGAGGGCGTGATGAGCAGCCAAATATACGGCGACCAGCTAAAATTGCTCTATCCAGTTGTAGAGCCGAATCTCTCTGACTCTGGATCGGCAGACTGTGTGCTCGAGTTCTTGGTGATGGCAGGACAACGCTCCTTGCCCGAGGTAAATTTTACGTTACGAGATCATCAATGAATATCAGAAACGTCGTCTAATGTATTAGAATATAAAATATTGCTGTAAATTCTCATAATTGATTCTCATAAAATTGATTTCACAATTTTGTGAATTATTAATCTCGAAGATATTTATTTAAAAAAAATATCATTAAAAAATTTCGCAAATTTAGATAAACTAGGAATTCTTTTTGATACCGTTAAATTTTTCGTAATATTCCTCAATCTTTGATTCCGTTAAATTTCCTCAATCTTTGATTTCGTAGATCCTTAGTTTTAAAGGGCTCTCTTCTGCTTTTGCTGAATGCACTTTAATTTCTCTTTTCAAAATCCTTGTCTCTGCTTTCAAAGATCTAAAACGCCGCTGATCTTTGAATACGCAGAGTCTAAACGCTACCTCGCATTACGCGATTCCTTCGTTTCTCAATTTCAAGAATCTCGATCCTCGAACAAACACTTGAAACTTACTCGTTACTGAATACAGGCTGTCTTGACGATGGTACCAGAGGCTTGGCAGAATGACTTGACAATGGCCACTGAAAAGCGGGACTTCTACCACTGGGCGGCGTGCGCCATGGAACCCTGGGACGGCCCGGCTCTTCTCACCTTCACCGACGGCCGCTACGTCGGCGCTATCTTGGACAGGTAGAAATTTTCTATCTCTCGTTACGTCTTGTTTATGATACGTTTTTACGTAGGCTCCACTTCCCTCTCGTTCGTGCTATCTGGTAACCTTTGCCACATTTTATATCCATAGATCCATTAGTCTGCGACTTCTCGGATCGAAAATGATTCGCGGGTTGTGCGGGTTCTTGGATCTTTGGCTCCCATTGATTTTCGACACTTTGAATCTAGTCGCGCTGACATTACACATACCGCATTTTGTAATTCAAAATGTTTTAATGTTAAATATAAATATCTCGTATAAATTTTCTTCCTAATATTATTGTTTCTTTTAAGATTGGCGAAGAGGAATTATTACTATCAACATTAACGACGTGATACATTCGTTGGCTTACATATTAGTTAAAAAATTTCTAAAATTTATAAACTGAGAGATATCATATTGTTAAAACGAGGAATAAATGCGGCGATAAGTTAAATTCTTAACTGTCGATGTGTCGAAAAAAATACGAAACGTGAATGTGTGTTAATTCGCTATTACATATGACTCCCGAAAACCATTAGAGAGAATTCACACAAATTTACTGGAAGCTGCACAGGTAAGTAAGTGAATTCTTTGCATTAAAATAATTCCATGCAATAGCGAATTAATATCACAGTGTCGCAAGTATCTTTGTAAGTATTTCAGTATTCAGAGCATATAAAGAAAAATATAACATCTAAAATATTTAATTAAGATTATATATATCTAATCTAATTTGCAAAGAGCAAAATAAAGTAAAATGTTTCATAACGATGAAACTAAACTCCGCGTTGACAGCTAAGAATAAACATTAATTAAATTAAAAATTTAAAGTCACGTGATCCAATTAATTCTTTGCAGCATTCCTGCAATATTATAGCAGGTATTACTTTTTAATTTTCTATCGCTATATTTTATCTCGTAATTTTATTACAAATTGAAAGGAAAATATACTTCCTCGTTATTTGTTATTGGGAAGTTCCTCGAAATATGGCTCAAAAATAAATATAGTGCAGAGAAGCAAAGAATTGATTTGAAGTGGAATTCAAAGTGTTGAAGAAAAATCCTTATTGAAAGAGAAACGAGCCGAACGAAAGGACTCTGCGGTGTCGTTTGTTAGGGGAGCCGCGAAGAATGAATGCTAGGCTACGTGGGCGTATTGCCTACGCTTTGCAAGACGCATTCAGCAGGATTAACGGTGCTCACGAAATACATGAGAACGGTGCACACGTAGAGATATACTCGGGTACAGGTAAACATGGATTTCTAAGGCAGAGGGAAGTCGTGCAATCGAACGGGGGGGATATAAACACCCTTCAACCATGAATCCAATTTTTAAAACATTACGCAAAATAAAACGTACGAAAAATATTTCTTAGAGAAAATATAAATTTTATTGTAAGGATATTTTTATAAAAATTGCTTTAGGAAAGTTATTACAGCTTCCGTTTCGAGACGCCATTTTATTTTTATGTGGGAGTAAAAAGATCTACATTAACAAACAACAATTGCGTGAAAGAAAAAATTAATGTAACAGTATCTATTAATTGACTGTCTTAAGAAATTTAGAACTCATAATAATATCATAAATATGATATTTCCTGAAAAATTTAGAACTGATTCTTATTTATCGAAAGTTTTCTGAAAAATTTTAATTTTCCTATTATATTTAGCAATTAAGCAAATTTCTGTTTTAATAATATTTTGTTTTTTATGCTTTTTTTCTGTTGCTCTTAATTATATATAATATTTCATTCTAATTTTCAATTAGGTATTTATATCTCAAGGTTTATTAATGTTATAATAATAATAAATATAAATATATAACTTCATTGTTTAGGTTGTTTTTTAATATCCACAGCAGTAGTATTCAACAATATAAAATAATAAATATAAAATTACTATAAAATATGAATAATAATCATTTAGATTGGAAGTGATTACTTGAACATATAAAAGACGATATGTCGAGCAAAATATAAAAACAAAGTAGAAAAAAAATAGAAAATACAGAAAAATTTCGTGCGACTTCCCTTTGCCCTGCCTTGCTCTGTACAGCCGAAGTGAGAATCGATGTTTACGATTTACTAAGTGTCCATCGTTGTCCCAACGTGCTGCTAACGCAGGTAAATAGGGCCTAGGCCAAGAGACAGAGAGCGAAAGAAAGATGATATAGAGAGCGAAAGAGAGAGTATAACGCGAGTAAGCCAGCAGGAAGGCAGGCAAGCGAACGAACGAACAGCAATGTAGTTCACTCAGCTGATACCTAGCGCAAGACACAGAGGTGGTGTGAAATACAAAAGACCTTTTTGAATTTTTGTTTGGCAGAAACGGCCTGCGCCCGTCGCGCTTCTACGTCACTAAGGATAACATGATGGTGATGGCGTCCGAAGTGGGCGTCTATGATACTCCGCCCAGCAATGTAGTCCTGAAGGTAAACGAAGGAAATATGCGCATCCCAAGCACCAGCCGAGTCCCACGGGAGTGTCTCTCACTCTGTCTGAGGCGGAGACAGCTAGCTCGCAGTGATTTTTGATTTAACCGACGAATCAATCCCCTGTATGCTCAATCTTTTCCCCTCAGCCCCCTTTTCTCTCATCTCCGCGCCTATTTTCTACTTTTCTCCCCGATATACAGCAATTTCAGCTATATAGTGAGGGAAGAGCGACCAAGGAGACCCTCGCGTCTGCCCCGGGGAAGTTGGACCCTTCTCCCTCTCTCTCTGACCAAGGATCTCTCTACGGAAGCGACGAAAGAGCCTGCTCGCATTACAATTGTACAAAAGCAATTGCTTGCGCGTTTAATAGCGCGATAAGCCGCCTTGAATTTTTTTAATGTCACTTGAAAATTTCGCTGCACCGAGAGAGCTACACTCTCGTCGGGATTGTTCAGCGTTAACGTTGTGATCGCCGAGAGTGAAAGCCTTAATCAATTTTCGAGAACACTCTCCGACAGAGCGACTCTCGTGTCAACGAAACTCTCAAGTGCATATCTAGCTTCGACTATAACGCGTCTTCTCGCCATCATGTTCGCATTTGTCTCGTCGACTAATTATTATTATTATTATTATTATTATGTCACAAAACAACCCGCTTTGTTGACCTCCCGCTGACTTTTTTATCAGAGGAGGAAGAAAAGGAGGCGGCGATAAACGGCAGAACTCTCTTTGTTAGAAGATCACAAAAAAGAGTGAGATTTTCCAGATAGTGAAATTCTAAGGGCTAGGAGAGAAAAAAACGTAGCTTGTTGATTCCACGGGGTTTTTGCAGATTTACGGCTTGATAATTGCATGCTTACGCAAATTTTGAGTTCCAGAGGGCTTTGGTTATACAAATCGTTGATCATGTACGTCCTTGGTTACATATGTTGCGTCCTCCAGGTTCTTAAATCTATGGGCGTCTTCGTTCTGGGATGCAAGCACCATCATGCGATTTGTTTACTACACAAATCACTTTTTTTATCACCGTATTTCATCTATGTCTAACAAATACATTACTCATTACATTTTGGCGTTCCTGTCGGAAGCAACAAGCGTATCGTCTCCGTATCGAGTCCTATAACGAAATGTTTTATCTCGTATGATCAATCGAGTGCATCGAAACAGATGTTCGTGTATGATAAGCAGAGTCTAATAAATAGAGTTCTACCGTGCGGACAAGTATAAAGCAATTTACATTTCAACGCTCGTCGAATGACTTTGTGCGAATTCTATATATCTCAGATATTGCCGAAACAATGTTATGTACTGGCACTCTGCCTTTACACTGGCCGATGGTCATCAATGCCCAGCCATTGAGACGATCATCCCTGACTTCATCCAGCATTCGGTAATCCTCAAATGTATATTTTATGCGTGCACTTTCTTTCGTTCCTCTAATAAAACTGCAGAAATGTCACATTCGAGGATTAAAGGTAAATCCGATAAGCGATAATCCCAAGGAGTCGGTAAGGGCAGACTGTCATCGATCCGCAAATGCCTACTCGCTGTATGTTAGTATACATGTATAATAGCTAATCACATATATCGTATTTTATTTATTTTTTGATCATGTATCATGTATGATGTATAATTTGTCATCTAGGGACTAGGTTTGTATAGAGCTGTAGGACCGTCATCCAGTGCTGTCATATGAATGTCGATCATCGACGTGTCGAACCCGTTCTATGGCGATTATTGGTGTACTCTTTTATTTACAGAGTCGCTTGAAGCCCGGCCGGATGCTTCTCGTTGACACCGAAGAGAAGAGGATCATACAGGATGTCGAGCTGAAGTTGCAGATCGCTCGAAGCAGACCTCATTCCAAATGGCTCAAAGAACAGGTAGCTAATTATATTTTTACTCAACCTAGATCAATTCGCGAGATCACATTGTCACATTATCGTGATTAAAATTCACTTCGAGAATAAGGCTGAATTTTTAATCCCATTTAAAAAGATGATTGTTCGAGATAAAACTTAAAAAGATTTTATCATCTGATTTTTCACGAGCTTTTCTATCGGTGCTTTTTTAATGCCAAAATATAAATTTTATACAGCTTATGTTTTATATATTTTTGAAATTGCATATAGCTTATGTTTTATACATAAGTTATAACTGAATTGTTAATTGTATATAATTTATACATAAGTTGTATTACAATTAATGTGCTTGCATGAAGAATAATATCGCATATCATGCCAACTTGAAAATTAAATAACTCTTCGCTTTTTCTCCTCGTCATGTATATTAATTAATACACCTAATTAATACACCGTCAACTAACGCAAAAGTCACCAAGTATCAATGTTATTTCTTCGTGAGATATTTAATACAATCAGTAATTTTATTGGTTTTAATGAAAAATATAATAATATAATAATCGCATTAAAATTAATCGAAATCGTCGCAAGGAAAAATTTCTAACGCAAAACTAACTTTTTTTTTACACTGCTGCTCATGCTGTTATCGTCGCATATGCAGATGGTGAGTCGTTCTAATCATACCATTTTGAGTGTGCTGATTTTTTTTAATACAATGGTACAGGTGGAGGTAGTAATACAGTAAAAAGAATATAAATTATAGTATGTGTATAGTAGGTAGAAATATAATAGAGAAATATTACGAATGAGTAAGTAGAGGTGTCTATGAAAAAATCTCAGCCAATTCTATTTTGCATGGAAATTCACTGCATCTACTAACTTTAGCCCTTCATATTTAACTGACTTGTTAATTAATCGATTGCCAACAAAACTCTCGGTTTGATACCTGCTTGTGCTCGACCATAGAAATTCTAAAAGTAATTCATTTGCGAGTCCAATCCTGTACTCAGCTCTTCAGCTTTATTTTTGCGATGTTCGTAATTACGGCAACTATAGTAGTTGGTAATGCTCTTTTGAACGCAGATCACCATCGATGAATTGCGTGCTGCACATGCTCATAACAATAGTGCAGGGAACGGAATCGAGAATAATCAATCCGCCCAGATGGCTGTCGCAAAAAAGAATGCTATCAACGATGGAGCAAACGAGGTTTCGGCCGTGAATAAAGTTTGGAGCGGCGACAAACGGCTCTCTCTTTACGGCTACACTCTGGAGACTATCAATTTACTACTTCTGCCCATGGTGGAAACTAAGTATGTACCTCAATAAATTTTTTCAATGTCGTATTTCACGTGTCAAATTTCATAGAATAACAAATAAATATTACTAGTACTAAATAGTACTAGATTTGTGTAAATTCAAAGAATTATTCAAAAAATTATTATAAATTTAAGGTATCATTATTAAATGATACTTCGATATTACTTCTATTTTCATGTTTTATAATCAAAGTATCTATCAAAGTATCTATCTTTTTTCCCTTTGGTAAAGTCAAGATTGTATAATTGTACGATTATCTTAATACGTTCTAAATTTTTTGTGAATAATGGTATTTTAATTAATAATAAATATTTAACAAACAACAAAAATTTTCTTTCAGAAAAGAAGCGTTAGGATCTATGGGTAACGACGCTCCCCTGGCGTGCTTGTCGGAATTCCAGCCGTTGGTGTACGATTACTTTAAGCAATTATTCGCGCAGGTACGTAAAAATTTTATTATTGTTAACGTAAAATGCAAAATATAACAGAAAATCGAAAAAAAGAAATTATAGAAATTAGTTCCGCAACTGAATACAGTTTACCCATGTTTAATATGTGCGTTAACGCGTCTCCTAATTATGATTTTTATCTAGGTAACGAATCCACCGATCGATCCGTTCCGCGAAAAGATCGTGATGTCGATGCTCTGCCCGATTGGGCCCGAGAGTAACATTCTGGAGCCGAACGAGTCGCAAGTGCATCGCCTATTCTTGCCCCAACCGATATTGTCTCTAAATGATCTTGAGGTTCTCAAGCACACGACTCATCGCAATTGGAGAACAAAAGTGATCGACATCACTTACCCTATTGAATACGGGCCTGGCGGATTATTGAAGACGCTGAATCACGTTAACAATGAGGCTAATGCGGCCGCTAGGGATGGTTATCAGCTGCTCGTGTTATCCGATCGACAAGGTGGTCCGACAAGGTGAGCTCAACCTGCGAATCAAAATAATGATATATTTTAAATTAATTTTGAAAGAAAAAGGATTAAAATTCACATCTGTTTGTTGATTTTAGAGTTCCGATAAGCAGCCTGCTAGCGCTGGGCGCTGTTCATCATCATTTGATCGAAGAGAGACAGCGAATGAAGGTCGGTCTCATATTGGAAACCGCCGAGGCTCGAGAGGTGCATCATATTTGCGTGCTACTTGGCTACGGAGCGGATGCCATATGTCCTTACTTAGTATTTGAGATGGCGAAAAATCTAAGAGCGGATCACGTTTTCGATGAAACCTTTACCGACGAAGTTATTTACAAGGTAAGCCTCACAAAATTTATTGTTTGAAGACGTTAATGATAAAAAAAGGTCTTTTTGTGTGAATATGAAAAATAAAAATCAAAATTATTTAATTGCTCTTAAATTCCACAGAATTACTCAGAAGCTACCGAGCGAGGAATCGCGAAAGTGATGGCCAAGATGGGAATCTCGACTTTGCAGTCTTACAAAGGAGCGCAGATATTCGAAGCAGTTGGATTGGCCGATGAAGTCATCGATAAATGTTTCAAAGTATTTATTTTTTTATATTATAACTTAAGAGTACGAAAATTTTGTAAGTAAAATATATTTATCTATTCTACCATTAAAAATAGCTTTTAATAAAAAAAATATATATATATATTTATCGAATGCTTTTAATTTTTTTAAACATGGCATTCATAATCATGAAATAAATAAAAATTATAAATTTATTCTTTTTCAAAAAAATCGTTTTGTTCTTCAGATGCATATGATTATCAATTGGATCCAATTAATGATACTTAATGATTCAAACTTTTGTATGATGCATCTTAGTCGAATTTTATTTTTCACATTACATAAACAATTTTTTTATTAATTGCAAACCGACTCGAATTTTTCAGGGCACTCATTCTCGTATTAGTGGTGTGACGTTCGATATTTTGGGCAAGGAGACGTTCGAGAGACATCAAATAACATACTGGGACAAACCAATGGATTTGCTGGTCATTCGCAATCCAGGAATTTATCATTGGCGATCCGGTGGCGAGAAACATATTAATGATCCTGCTAGCATCGCTAGCTTACAGGTAACAAAGACAATTTCGAACACAGTATAGCTTTTAAAAATAAATATCGGCAATTTACACTTATTGTAAGAAAACGTAATTATGTGCAAAGTTCTTATTCTGAAAAAAAAATATAACTATGTAAAATAGATTTGTCTTTTACAATCGTCTTTCCTTCATCAGGAATATGTTGTGTCCAAAAACAACCCTGCTTATGAGAATTATCGCAAGACCACGATGGAAGTGGTGAAAGCTTGCACTCTGCGCGGCCAACTTGAACTGAAGAAATTACGCGATCCGATTGCTATCACGGACGTGGAACCCGCATCGGAAATCGTGAAACGCTTCGCGACCGGCGCGATGAGTTTCGGCAGTATCTCTCTGGAAGCTCACGCTACCCTGGCAATCGCTATGAACCGCATCGGTGGCAAGTCGAACACCGGCGAAGGTGGCGAAAACGCAGACAGGTATAATAAAGAAGAAAAACATAATAATGAATTTAATGAGCTTAAGAACTCATTATTGCAATAATAATTAATTACCATATATAAATTAATTGAATATTATCTGTAACCATCTGTTTATCATTATCCCACAGATATCTGAATCAGGACCCGGAGTTTAGCAAGCGTTCGTCCATCAAACAGGTGGCAAGTGGTCGCTTTGGCGTTACTGCCAGTTACCTGGCGAACGCAGACGACTTGCAGATCAAGATGGCGCAGGGCGCGAAACCCGGCGAGGGCGGCGAGTTGCCCGGTTATAAGGTCACCGCGGAGATTGCCGCGACTAGGCACTCGGTACCCGGGGTCGGTTTGATTTCACCGCCACCGCATCACGACATCTATTCGATCGAGGATCTGGCCGAGTTGATTTACGATCTTAAGTGCGCCAATCCGAACGCCCGTATCTCCGTCAAACTCGTATCTGAGGTCGGGGTGGGCGTCGTCGCTGCCGGCGTCGCCAAGGGTAAAGCCGAACACGTGGTGATATCCGGCCACGACGGCGGCACTGGCGCCAGCAGCTGGACCGGCATCAAGTCCGCCGGATTGCCTTGGGAATTAGGCATCGCCGAGACGCATCAGGTGCTGACCCTGAACAATTTGAGGTCGCGCATGATCGTCCAGGCGGACGGCCAGATGCGCACAGGTTTCGACATCGTGGTGGCCGCGCTGCTTGGTGCGGACGAATTCGGCTTCAGCACCGCTCCACTGATCGCAATGGGCTGCACAATGATGAGAAAGTGCCACCTGAACACTTGCCCAGTGGGCATCGCCACGCAAGATCCGATATTGCGAAAGAAATTCGAGGGCAAGCCGGAGCATGTAATCAATTTCTTCTTTGCGTTGGCTGAAGAGGTAAGAAGAGGTTTAAATGTTATCATTTTATCAGCTTTCATTTATTGTAATAATTATTTTATCTCTGATTGATTTCTCTATATGTCATACGTTATACTGTCTATTATTATTAATATTTTAATATTCTTATTCATTCTTTTAAATATTATTTGTTCCCAAAATTATGTTTTAATTATTATTGAGTCAGAATATTAACAAATTAGATGAAGAATATTAATTAAATAATAAATTCATTTATTAAAATATTATTAAATTAGATGGTAACACTGAAAAATTTTAATACATAAAAATAATACAATTTAATTTTTCTAGATATAAAGTATTATTTTAACACATTAATTTAATACATATTAAATTAATTCGATTCATTTTTTCGTTTCTGCAGGTACGTTCGCATATGGCAAACTTGGGCATTCGCAAGTTCCAAGATCTGATTGGACGCACAGACCTCCTTAAAGTACGAGACGATATCTCTGTTGAGAAAGCCAAGACCCTGAATCTTAGCAATATCTTGCGAAACGCGCTAGATTTAAGGCCCGGCGTGAATATCAGGGGCGGTACCGTAAAGCAAGACTTCCAGTTGGAGAACAGACTCGATAATAAACTAATTGAACTAGCCAAGCCTGTTTTGAACGGAGTACACACTCGAGTCGACATCGAAATGAACATCAACAATGAATGTAGGGCATTTGGATCGACGCTGAGTTATCATGTAGCTAAGTAAGTATGTCAATATTCTTCTTCGTACAGAGAAAATCAGCAAGGCAAAGCTGATACATAATTTTTATCATTTAGCAACAATTTGAGCTTTCTTATTTCTCTTGCAATTCCTTCGTAGACGATTTGGAGAGGCTGGATTGCCCGAAAATAGCATTAATATCAAGATGCGAGGCTCTGCGGGTCAGAGTTTCTGCGCTTTCATGGCGAAGGGTATTCATGTCACCCTTGAAGGCGACGCTAACGATTATGTCGGCAAAGTAAGCACGAGTTTTTTAAACTTTTAAATTTGAGACAATCTATATATAATTTCATATTGCTCTATTTAAGTTGTTATTGTATCATATTGTTGTGTTTATATGTATCATATTTGATACATATAAATATCAAAATGTATACTAAAACTTAAAATTATTTTTAATACTCTCTTGCACAGAAGAAATAAATAATTCTATTTTCAGGGTCTCTGCGGAGGTGAAATCGTCATATACCCGCCGAAAGACTCCGAATTCAACTCGGAGGCGAACGTAATCGTCGGGAATGTCTGCCTTTACGGAGCTACTTCCGGAAAGGCCTACTTCCGCGGTATCGCTGCCGAGAGATTCAGCGTACGTAACAGCGGGGCGATCGTCGTGGTGGAGGGTGTGGGTGATCACGGTTGCGAATACATGACCGGCGGCTGCGCCTTGATCCTGGGTCTCACCGGTAGAAACTTCGCGGCCGGAATGTCCGGTGGAATCGCGTACGTCTTGGACGTCGACGGCTCTTTCAAGAGCAAGTGCAATCCCGAGATGGTGGAGCTGCTGCCGCTCAACAAGCCAGAAGAAATCGCCTATGTGAAGCAACTGCTGGAGGAATTCATCGAGAAGACCGGCTCGCTGATCGCGCAAGACTTGCTCGCCACGTGGCCGGAACCGACCACGAGATTCGTCAAGGTCTTCCCTTACGAGTATCAGCGAGCTCTCAAACAGCTGGAGGAGGCAAAGCTAGAAACGCCGAATGTGATTAACGGTAACGCGCAGATGACGAATGGCAAGATCAAAGATATAGAGGATTCGATAGAGGACGCGGACATGGCACAGCGAAAGTTGGACAAAATCAAGGGCTTCATGAAGTATCAACGGCAGAAGGCCATGTACAGACCGGTCGAGAAGCGCGTAGTCGACTGGGATGAGATATACAATTTCCAGGGTGTTAGAAAGACTCTGCGCGTGCAAGCTGCAAGGTGCATGGAGTGCGGTGTACCGTTCTGTCAGAGCAGTCACGGTTGCCCGTTGGGCAACATCATTCCTAAGTGGAACGATCTCGTATTCCATCAAAACTGGAAGGAGGCCTTGAATCAACTGTTGCAAACTAATAATTTCCCTGGTGAGTCAATTTATGAGAATATCTTTGCTAAATACAAATTTTTTTTCCCCCACTTTGTGAGGTATAAATCCATTTCCTTTCCATCCATTAACGTGACTTTATTTTTAAACATATAATAATTTCATTTTTCGTATATATTATAATTTCTACGTTCCATTGCATTTAATATTATTTAATGAAAGCGACACATTTTTTCTCATTCCTCTTTTTTTCTGTCAATTATTATATCATTTTTAATCGATCAACTATGTGGATAACTGTATGTTTAACTCTTTGAAATTAAATAATTTAGAGTTCACTGGAAGGGTCTGCCCCGCACCTTGCGAGGGTGCATGCGTCCTAGGAATTTCCGAACCACCGGTAACGATCAAGAATATCGAGTGCGCCATAATCGATCACGCGTTCGAGCAAGGTTGGATCGTGCCTCATCCGCCGACCAGAAGAACCGGGCGGTTAGTAGCGGTGATCGGATCCGGTCCCGCGGGATTGGCCGCCGCTCATCAGCTGAACAAGGCGGGGCACACAGTGACCGTGTTCGAGAGAAACGACAGAATCGGCGGGTTGCTGCAATATGGCATACCGACGATGAAGTTGTCTAAACAGGTCGTACAGAGAAGAGTCTCTCTGCTCGCCGCGGAAGGGATCATCTTCAGAACGAATGTCGATGTAGGCAAGGATATTACAATGCAGGTAAGCGAGCGCATTCAATGACAGTTGTTTACAACCTTATATATACAGTCATAAGTATTGTATAACAGAAAAAATTTTTACTTATATTTATATATTTATATATTCATCATATATTCGTAAGACAAATTATTTTCTCATTTCTATAATATTTATGTACTCTAACAGATTTCCTCTCTCTTATTTCCTTCTTATACGATGATGCTATTTAAAGTACTCTTGGTTTATTTATATTATAATTCTCCGACACTCACGCATATATGTTATTGCAGGAACTTCAGGAACAGTACGACGCGATAATGTTATGTACGGGCGCGACATGGCCGCGTGATCTGCCGATTCCAGGTCGGCAGCTGGAGGGAATTCATTTTGCCGTGAGCTTCCTAGAGCACTGGCAGAAGAAGCAAATGGGTAACAAAGCGCCCCTGGATATGCGGCTGATAGCCAAGGGCAAGGACGTTGTCATCATAGGAGGCGGCGACACCGGATGCGATTGTATAGCGACCTCGCTTCGTCAGGGCGCGAAGACAATTACGACCTTCGAAATCTTGCCCGAGCCGCCAGTCCAGAGGGGCAAAGATAATCCGTGGCCTCAATTCCCACGAGTGTTCAAAGTTGACTACGGTCACGAGGAAGTGTCTCTAAAATTCGGCCGTGATCCGCGTAGATACAGTACGCTGAGCAAGGAATTCCTGGATGACGGAAATGGCCACGTGAGTGGCATCAGGACGGTGACTGTGGATTGGCGAAAGGACGAGAATGGTCGATGGAAAATGGAGGAAGTACCAAATTCGGAGAAAGTGTACAAGTGCGACCTGGTATTACTCGCCATGGGTTTCCTCGGGCCGGAGAAGTACATCGCCACAGAAGTGAACGCCGAATTGGACGAAAGAGGAAACTACAAGACTCCAGCCGGGAAATATTGTACTAGTTTATCTAAAATATATGCGGCAGGCGGTTAGTATATAATTATAATATGTCATTGCTCTAGATATGTTATAGAAAAAATTCTGTTTTTTTTTTTAATCTAATTTATATCATTATTGCCAACAAAAAAATCATTCATATATATTTATTATAAATTTAGTATTATAATTTTAAAAAATTTTATAAATTTTATAAATTTATAAATTCAAGTTATAAAATTAGAAATTTTATAAATTTTATATCTTGTTTATTTTTATTAGAACTGTGATATATATTTTAAATGTTTAATTTATGGTATAACTTTCTGTCTTGTACTTTGCACGAACTTATCGAAATTGATTTAAGTATGAATTACAAGGGCGTGAATAATTATATATTTGTTATTATATTTATTTTTGTAAAATAGATTGCAGACGTGGACAGTCTCTCGTGGTATGGGCGATCGCAGAAGGCAGGTTAGCCGCGAAGGAAGTTGATTTGGCCTTGATGGGGGAAACCGGCCTTCCCGGAAGCGGTGGTGTCATAATCGGCGTTAGCGCTTAAAGACCTTCACGATGGATGTTGGTCTTCCAATTAAAACAAGAAAAGATCCACCGTGCACGCGTACCGCGAGGAAGGAGTCGTATCGACTGTTAGAAGGCAAGGGGAGAATCCTTGGAGATCCAAGGATGCGAGCTCCGGGATCCGAGGATTCGAAAGTTCCATGAATCCAAGAAGATACAAGCCTAGAATTGTAGAGTTCAGAAATCCATGAGTCCGAGAAGAGGATGTTAACATTCGGAAATCCACGGATTCAAACTTCCAGCAATCCAATGATTTATAGCCTCTAGGATGTGGAGATCAGAGAATTCTCCTAGGAATTAATGAATTTGAAATTTAAAGAATTGAACATCCAAAAATCATGAGAACCTAAAGATCAGAAAAGTCGCGTGTCCGAATTTTAAGACATCTAAGAACTAGGTCTTAAGGTTCAAAAAATCGAATATTCAAGAGTCGAGCAACGAGAATATTAGAAAAACAAATTCCGGCTTTCACATATTAAAGATTAGACAAAAATTAAAGATTTCAAAATATAAAGAAATAAAGGATTACAAATATATGTAACTCAAAATTTCTCTTTCAAGAAGTTTTGAAAAGTAAGAATTTAAAAAAATGAAAATTTTATCAAAAAAATTGAATAATCTTATATTTCAAAAATTTTTTTGAACTCCTATATGATAAAAATCTAATTTCACGATTTGCAGATGTAATAATTCTATAATCTAAAAATTTAGCATTGATCTAATGGAAAATAAGGATGATTTTTAAAATTTTAGAATTTTTAAATCACATATCTTATTTGTTGCATTTATTGTAGACACAGAAATTCAAAAATCAGCTATAATGCTACAACTGGAAATACGAGGAATAAAAGAGCTTAGAATTCAATTACTCGCAGGTCGATTAAAAGCATTCGAAGATTTAAGAATCGAAAAATTCTCAGATCTTAATCTGAAGATGTGATAATCAAGTGAGAAACGAAGTAAGATAATTTTTGTGGCGCGAATCTCTCCGTATCAGAGTAATAACGGGAAGTAAATGTAATTTCTCCATAACGTAGTGGAATCGTTTAAGCATCTCGTTCGTCCAATTAGAGTTAATCATACGCGAGAGAATTAGAGCTTCGAGTATGTTGAGGGAAGGATACCGAAACGAGCTGGTAGCAGGATCTACGTGACTCCAGATACGGATTTATATTAGGTGGTATACTTTGCCAACTAAAATGTTCTTTTTAACATATGCAACTACAAATCAATTATTTTAAGAATAAAAATGAAGAGAGATGTTTCAGTAAATCATTATTTATAAAGTACACCTATACGAAATATTCTAGCGTTTTTTTAGCTCTCCGAAGAAAATATTGAAGCAAAAATATTCTCAATTATCTTACATGCAGTTTAAATACTTTAAATACAATTGCTGTATTATACAATTATAAATTTATTCCTTTATGGGACAAAACGTTCGATTGTAATAATTAACGAAATTTATGTGTGAGTACAAAAAGTATTCGTATATCGCCATTTTTCGTCTGTACGTTTTAATTAGCAGTTAAGAATGTAAACATGACTAGATCGTAAAGCGTTATACAATAAAATAATATTCATGCATTATCATCTTTGTTTCTCTGAATCTCATTTTATTTCATTAGTAAATAAACTCAACATCTAAGAAATGTAGACGTTCATGTAAAATGTTTAGATATAGATATCAATGTTGTATCATTATCTAATGCATTGTTCGTAAAACTGTCCGACAACATATAGTTTGTAATGTTTATTATTTTAGAAGTGTGGTATAAAAATATTTTTTTTAATTGAAGATTATATTCCTTTAGATTTTATATTATTCTATCATCAGCATATTTTCTGAAAAAGAAATCCGAAAAAAATTATGAAACTTAATGAAACAATTTGCTCTAGGATAATTTGTTAAAAAACTACAAATTATTAATTAGAGATTAAAAGTATAAACAAAAATATGCAGGCAGAGATTTGTTTCTTCTTTCTTTTTTAATGTGTGATACGAAATTAATAGATACTATCGCAAAATAAAACAATGGCATACGAATACTTTTATAGTACACTTACTTTTTGTTCATTTTCAGTATACAATTACAAGTATTTTTAGCATTCTTGGGCATTCGCCTAGGTTGCCTAGCGTATTACTAGCGGATCTGCTTATGTTATCGATGAGGAAAGTTACACGAATTAGCGAAAGATGATGCTATTACGTAAACAATATGAGGACAATGTAGCACTTGCATTATATATATATATATATATATGCCGTTCACTGCAATCCCGTAATAATAATTCTGCCAATTAATTCACAGTCGAATTTTTGCAAGCAAAAATAGGAAACGATCGTTTAACCCCTTAGTCGCACATCTATAATTATGATTAAGCATAAACTTGATCATAAATTGATTGCGTCTGAATTCTGTTAAAGGGTTAATTTATTGACAAATAACTTAATCGATCGTCTTTAACGCTTTCGTGAGCTAAAAATATTCCTATAGAATTGCGTTTATGTAAACTGCAGTTTCACTTTTACGCGCGTCCTATCAAGACGAGAGCATTAATACGCTTGTAATCATGTTTTCCATAAGGTTCGCAGTTTCAAAAAAGAAAATCTATTACAGCTAGGCCTTAAATTAGAAATTTACCGCTAAAAGGTAATTTATTATCAACGAAGCAGGAGTTAACAGTTCATATTTAGACGCGATTTATTTCTAATGCAATTTATCTTTTTATTGATAGCCTTGTAAATTTCAATACATACAATATCTTGAGACAATAAATATATATCGAATGTTACGAGCAATATATCGTCTTTGGCCTTTTGTTTGTAGCAATTTTCTAACCCACTTTGTGTGTTCATATGATATACTCTGCTGTGTTAAATGTGATTAACTTACATAGACAAATTCAAATCTATCAAAATTAATTCTGTTATTCTATTAAATCTTATTATTCGATATTTTTCTAACAACAGTTTCTGCTTATAATCCTCAATGCGAAATAAATTAGCATAAATAAAGATGACACTATATATATGTTATTTGCGTGAATTTCTTTAGCAATAAATTCCTCATTTAAGTCGATCTTTCTAGATGTCACTCGTTTATTAAAAATAAACGCATGGATACAGTTTTTGTTGACTTCGGAATTTTATCAGAGTCAAAATAGTTTCTGGAAAGCGATCAAAAGAGAAGTAATGCCGCGGAATTCACGGCGCAACAACGAATCGACGAATTCATTGCCCGCGTCGCGCATTGCCTCTGAAATCGCCGGAGAGTTTTTGCCTCCTCCCTCGCGAATTCCAATCGCGAAATGGCAGAAGATATTGGAAGATGAGCACGCCAGCCATGTCGTCGGCTTTATCCGCGAGGAGATCGTCCGATCGGCCGCGGACGCGATTTGCGAAAATTATTTTCGGAAAGCGGTCTACGGTTTCGTTGTCAATTGCGCGTACGAGGCCTGGATGCGCGCGTTTCAGGTTCGTGTAAATCCAAGTAACTCGCGGATGTTATTATAACGGAGGACCTAAATTGCTGTGAAATTTTTCAAAATGATATCATCTCGACAATGACATATATATGTCTTATTGTGACAATCGAGTGTTAAACGTCGGAAGTGCAACGATGCATTATTACACGTCATGCAACTGCTATACCTTACGATCGATCATGTTTTCAGTGGGTGCATCTGGAGTATGATAATCGGGGGATATCCGACGGATGCCCTGTCCCGGATGAGGCACCGCCGCTAGTCGCTAAACATCCCCGATTACCTCGAGGCGTCCCGACGGTTTACGGTCGACTAGCGAAATTGATCGCGAGCCAAAAATCGTCGAACCGTCGTTTTCGCGAAGCGCCCTGCGCGACAAGTGCACTGCACGGAAGGAGCGGAACATTGCGGGAAGGACGATTACGTACGAAGATCCGTAATTAAAGTAATTATGCGGTTTGATTAAAGGAATTATTTGGTCCCAAATAGCGTACGTTCTGTATGCATGCTAAATAATTTCGTTTTATTTTTCAAACCGAGGATAATTGCTAAATATATAAATTCAATTAAAGCAGGGTGGAAATCGCATATGTGGCTGGCGAACAATTAGCATGGAACCATCAATTAAATACTGGTTAAGACAATTGAGTAAAAAATAATGGGAATGAGTGCCCTGACGACGATCGACGCTCAGAATAGCAGCATAATAAAAAACATCGGTTAAATCATGATCATATCAATCGGTAATAAATACTCGGTGACGATAAACATGCAATTACTCATGCAAATAGGTAATATTTTTATACTCACCGAAGCGTACCGTAGCTGTTTCTGCCGCATCAACTTCAGGTTGGAAAACGGCACCGGCTCCAGCCGCATCGAAACACACTCCGCGCTCGTACACAAACCGGATCGCGGGACTGTTCGACTAATTATACGTGGATCGCGCGGTGATATCAATCCCCGATACTTTGCTCGACAGTCGTGACACTCATTCGCGGTGCGCGGTTCACTTTAACGGGAACGAAACGTATACGTATATACAAAATACGTGCGGATCTCGCGATTCCGTCGCGATCCCGAACGAACGCGGCACGAGACAACATGGCGGTCGCGGCTGCGCGCGCGAACGCGCGCTCCGCGCCACGCAGCGCCATCTGCGTGCAGTTTCGATGTCGCGAGAGAAGCGTGCCCGATCTACCGTCGCATCGCGTTTATCTACAGTGTCACAGTGTGATCGCCAGATCGTCCGGCGGGCACTCGCGGCGCACGACTTGTATTGTACGCGCGATTCTGCACTCGTAAACGCGCGCGGAACGCGCGGTGGTTACGGAGCGACCGAAACCCTGCGACCGCGACGGAGCGTCGCCGCTGCACTCGACAACGCGCTTAGACCCGGCGGACGCGCATGCGCTCTACCAGGACGCCGCATTCAATCTCGGTAAATGATGATGACTTGATTAGCTGATTTATCATCGCGGTCGATTAGCGTGTCACGACGGTCACCCGTGTACTTGCAATTGGTATTCCAACCGGATGCGCGCCCGCATCCAAGGTTCCTTCCTCCCACGAGCGAAACAAACGCGAGAAGCACGCGGACTGCGACTGCGACTCCGGAACGAGCGCGCGAAGCGCGTCGCACTGCGGCTCCGGCTGCGCATGCGCGCGTTCAAAAAATTTCGCGCGATCATCAGATACGAAAATATCCGGATACTCTCGTGAATTGGTTTACTAAATATCTCAATTCCCACGCGGCACTTCATTTGGCGCCCACGAACTGTGGCCCGCGATACTTTCGAATTCGCGACCATCGCGTATCGATTTCTGACGAGTGAAGTGTGCAACGCCACAATTAATTTCGAATTACCGCGTGGCGCGAGAGAAACGTGGCGCAAGCGTGTAATTTACATGCGAGAAGTAATAGGATCGAGAGACCTAAATTTTTTTATTTGTTTAATCTTAGAACGAAAGATTATTAATGTAGTAATGTAATTTTATCAGTTTTTGTAATTTCGCGGATAAAAGATAAGCTATGTATACCAAAATTGGACAGTCATATAATAAATAGAACGAGCAACGAGATAATTAACAATTATCAGTTTCCATAAAGCAGAATCTTTTTAAAAATAATTCCTGGATCTTTCAAATTTATATCAGATTATTGAAATCTATTGAATGTAAATATCTTTCGATTAATAACGTAGCAAAAGTAGTACAATCGTGCAGCTGTGGCAACACTGCAGCATTGGTAGCTTTCTAAACCCCAGATAGATCCGTATCTCAATTTAACATAAACGAAAAAAAAAAAAAGGATTAACGATCGCTTCAAATTCTAATTAAAGTATATAAATTACATATCTATATTATATATTTTGTTTTTCTACTCAATTAGAAAAAAAGACATAAAAGAGACGATAAATTATATTACTACGAGAATCTAACGAATATCTAACGTCAATAAAATTATACCAACACCAACACGACTATAGTCAGTCATGATCAGAAATTGCAGTCGTTGATGTAATTTAATTCAGTCAATTCGGTATTGAAATCTCAGACGTCACGATGTGGACGTGATGTTTTCATTGTCACGGATAACAGGTAAACATTTTCGCGTATATTTATATCTCAACTCAATAGAAATACGACGCTCCTAAGCTCTCTGTAATTGTGACATACGTAATAAACATTAATTCGTCAACCTATACAACTAATCCAACCGACGACGACGAAATCAAGATTCGCGGCATGCGTTTTTTTTTTTTGTATTTTCCACGGGATGCAGGAGTCCCTTTTTTTTATTCAACGATGCATCTCACGCGAGGAGAAAGCGTTTTCACAAAACGCGGACTCGTATCTCTCTAGGTTTAGTTCCGTGTGGGACATTAACTCCCCGGGTCTCTCTCTCTCTCTCTCTCTCTCTCTCTCTCTCTCTCTCTCTCTCTCTCCCCCCCTCTCCTCCCTCTCTCTCTCTCGCTCACGGTCCCCCTCTTCCCTCCTCTGCCCTCGCCCTCGCTTTACCAAACGATCCCGCACAGTCCCGGCTCTAGAGTTCAGCGGAATATTCCACGAACGAGCAGCGGGCGTCCTCGTCGCACGCGACGCGATCACGTAACGGCATCCCCGTCGCTCTCGCATCATGGACTGTTCCCTCATCGCGCTCCCCCACCGTTTCTACCGTTCGCTCGCTTCCTACCCTTGTCTCCCTAACCCTCCGGCCCTAGCGCTCACCAAACCACTGTCGATCATAGCGGGGCCTAGACACTTTGGCACCCTAATCATGGCGAAGGGACCTTCGCGTCGTTCGGGGACAAAGGCTTTTCCTTCTACGGTAGGCAAAATGTCGGATAACAAAGAAAACTCGAGTGGTTCTATGAAAAATGAACTATTAACACTCTAACTGCCACTCGTCTCTGAATAACGTGTAAAATTCGCAACGGTTCCGTCACTTATTTGTGAGTGACGATTTTATTTGCCCGATTAAGAATTATTTTGCTAATTATTTAGAAACGTTAAAAATATAATATATAAATTATATTATTGTAACATATTAAAAAAAACAATAAAGTATTAAAATAATACACAGATTTATTAAGTTTAATGCTGAAATTAGCTTGACAGTCAATGTTATAATAAGATTTACTGTTTCTACGAGATGCAAATGCATGCGAGAGAAAGAAAGAAGAAATTCTTCCTTTTTCTTTCTAAATATTATTGTAACTAGTAGAAAAATAAAATTTAAAATATATGTTTTTTGTTATATGTTAATGTGTATTTTATATAAATATGCTAATTTTATTACATTTTATATATTTTTTTCATTCATTAATTTTATTTTATATTTCTTCGTGATGACTGATGATTAATAGCTGTTTTTGATATAAAATAATCTTGATAGTGACGTGGTATATCGCTCCGCTCATTTCTTCTTTTAGCTTTAATTATACAAAAAATATATATAAAGTATGTAATTCTATACATACATTTATTATAATCTATACAATATATGTATAATAATATACATATATAAAATATGCATACATTAAAGAAAGATAAAATAGTTCTTTTAAATATATCTACTAAAACGATTTTTCTGATTATATAACGAAATAAAATGAATGAATATAAATTTCTACAATTCGTGACACTCTGTTTTAATACCAGTCCATAAATGACGAAAATGAAAACGGGAACAGCACTCAGAATTACGTATAAAATAATATTTATTACCATTTTATCTTTTTATATGTATACATAATTAAATTCGTAATTATAGAGAATCAGGAAATAAATTCATATGTATGAATTTAATTTTAAATTATCCTCTTTGGATTCTGATAGTCACGTAAAACCGTTGTATTCTAATCTCAGCTTTATTCCCGACGACAACGCAACTCTTGATTCTGCTCTCGATATTATTCCTGGTTCTCTGTTAAAACCGCCGGTTTATATTTTAATATTCCTACTGTAAGCATTTCTACTAATTCTCGTAATAATCTTCTCCGATTTTCCTGGGATTCGCCCGTTTCCAGCTGAATGCCCAAATGTACCGAATATTGCCTCGAATATTACTTTCGGGGCTATTTAAGCGCTCCTCTTATTTTTTTTTTTGTGATCTGCGATTTTATTCCTCGTAGCGTTTTACTTTTACCGCCAATTTTACGAGCAGTTACAGCGCTATCAATTTACGACGTGAAGTTCGTAGCACAAGAGATACAAGTTCCCGATTAGTATAATTATATAACATTTTCCCGTAGATACAAATTACAGTGCCGTGTGCGTATATATTCCGCTTAATAACTGCAATCTCGTATGCTTCTAGACATTACGTAAAACAAATTTAGATATTGCGATATGAGAACTGAAGAAAACTGATTGAAGCTCATCTGGTACGGAGCCGCACGCTGCATGCGCGATCTTTAAGCTCAATCTTGGAAGCAATCTCAGGCTCGCTCGTTTTATTTTGCAAAAATGCTCTCTCAAAAGTTAAAAATTACGTGGCACATCTCGTGTTCTCCTACCGTTTTACCTGGAGAGCAAAGAGAGAAATCTCTACGTTCCGAGGTTGAGTTTAACTATCTCGAAGTTTACATCGCGTTTGCCGAACGTATAATATATAAACAAAAAGGCGCGTTTGACGCTATATATCGAACGGACCGGAATACAGGTCGAAGTGTCAATATCGATCTACCTGTTTAGCAGGATCGTCTGAACGACTACCGTTTCGATTCTTCATGATGTTTTCTTTCTCTCTTCGCTACCGCTTCTCCCTCCCCCTCCACCCTCCCTCTTCCCCCC